TGCAGGCTTGCAAGTGTGGAATTATATACACATATATATATATATATGATACATAGCATATTATAATATATTGTAGACCTGCAGCTTAGTTGCCTGATGTCCTTTTCCTCGATGGCCACGCGGCCGGTGGAGACCAAGTAGTTCAGGAGCTCGTGAGGGTCTAAGAACGGTAGCTTGCCCATCACCCTCTTTCCAGGGTCGGTCTCATGGAGCAGTGGCACCTCTACATAGCTCAAAGCCTGCAGTTCTAGGGGCCGGGTCTTATTCAAGGGACGATCCTCTACAACAATTACAAAACGATCCTTGGGTGCAGGCAAGGTTGCTATGGGCATCCTCACAAACCGAGACAAGTCCCGATTTGCATTCCTTGAAGATTTCCCCTTCATCTGTGCCAACTTTGACGTAACTCTTGAGAAATTTCTTGCCCCGGCTTCCTTCAGGGGTTTGAATCCGAATTCGGTTGTTAATATATATTCCTCCAATCCAAACAACCGGTTTAGAATAATGTCCTGCACAGCTGCGTCGGCGCTGCTAAGAACTCCCAGAGCTGAAGTCCGCCCCTCACCCAAGGACTTCAACCTCAGATCTTTACATTCGAAATTCCGATCCTATTATATAGTTATATATATTTCCCGCTACATATACGTCTATACGACACCCTATTAATAACCCTAAAACCCTAAAGCCCTAAGGCCCTAAGCGCTACAAGCCCTAAGCACTAAACCCCTAAACCCTAAACCCTTACGCTCCCCAGGAGCAAGTGGTTGGCCATCGACGTGTTCGTCCCCGTCTTCGGCCGAGAACCTCCGGGAAAGGGTACTAAAATAAAATAATAGGGTTTAGGGGTGAGGGTTAAGGGGTTTAGGGTTCAGGGTGGCATTTGGGTTTAAGGGTTTTGCTAATGAGCAATTGGGTTAGGGGGTCAGGTTTTACTATCATATTTAGCAAATAATAATTGATATTATATATATGTATATTCTATATAATATTACTGATTGATCTCAGTATTTAGGCTTGGATTCGGGCTTCAGGGTTATATTAGATAGGCTTTGGGTGTTTTCGGCCCCAAACCCAAACCCTAAGCCCAAGCTTGGATTAGGGTTTCAGGGTTATATTAGGCTTTGGGTGTTTTCGGCCCCAAACCCAAACCCTAAGCCCAAAGCTTCAAACCCGAATCTCAAAAGCCGACATGATAACCCTAATAGCTCGGCCGAGTGCCCAAACTCACACGCCCTCAGCCACGAAGCTGGCTTTAGGGTTTAGGGGTTTTAGGGTTTTCGGGCTTGTAGGGTTTAGGGCTTTAGGGTTTAGTGGTTGTTTAGGTTTTTAGTAGGGTTTTTAGGGTTAGGGTTTTATGGTTTTTTTGGGTTGAGGGTTATAGGGTTTTGAGGGTTTTAGGATTGTTTGGGTTTTAGGGTGTTTAGTGTTTTAGGGTTTAGGGCTTTAGCTTTTTTAGGGTTTTTAGGTTTTTAGGGTTTAGGGCTTTAGGGTTTTTAGGGTTTTGGGGCTTTAGGGTTATTAGAGCTTTTAGGGTTTAGGTTCTTAGGATTTCGACTAGGGTTTAGTTGTCCCGTGTTTGGGAATTCTCGTTGGCAGCTTTAGGCTTTGCACATGGGGCTTGAGGCATCAGGGGTTGAGGTCTAGGTCCAGGTGTCGGGCCGTCAAGGCCATAAACTCTGTGGCTCAGAGTTTTTTGCTTCAATGTACTAACAATTTCGAAATTAAACTTTAGGGTTTTAGGTATTAAAGGGTTTAGGGCTTTAGGGTTTTAGGGTTTTTAAGGTTTAGGGCCGGTTTTAGGGTTTGGGGGTTCTGCAGGGTTTTAGTGCTTTTAGGGTTCAGCTAAGTGTTAAGCCTGACCCTGAACCCTGAACCCTGAGCCCGAAACCCTAATTTGCTTGCATCATGATCATCGAGTTCCCGATTGCTGGATCGCTGGGCCAATTCTACAGGCGTACAACAGCCCTGCCAGATCATGGAGTCGATATGCGATCTGCAGCACGAGGCGAAATGCGATCCGCGGAGGTCACGAGCATCAGGGTCGCCGTTGCATGGGAGGACGGTCGTATACTCAAACGACAATGCCGTCTCTTCATATTGGAACACCGATGATGGTGCTCCCGACGTCGTCATCTTCACGGAGCGTCGAACTGAAGAGCGGATCCCATGAAGTTGACGTGTGGGTCCAAAATCCGGACAACCTGCACTTGGACCCACACGGCAAGATCAAGGACAGAGTGGTCGACAACATGAGCATTATATTTGCGTCAGCCACCCACCCGATCCCCCCCCCCCCCCCCC